TATAATAATATTAAAGATTATATGCACCCTGACATGTTATATAAACTAGGCCCTAGTTTATAATAATAACAATCTGCTACACGAGCATGGATCAAATAATCCTCTTGGAATTACTTCAAATGTAGATAGAATAAGATTTCACCCATATTATAGCTTTAAAGATTTAGTAGGTGTTTTTGTTTTCTTTTTAATATTTGCATATTTTATATTTTTTAACCCAAATTTCTTTGGAGAAAGTGATAATTACATACCTGCAAATCCTTTAGTTACTCCAATTTCAATAGTCCCTGAATTCTATCTGCTTCCTTTCTATGCGATACTAAGATCTATTCCTCACAAACTGTTGGGAGTTATAGGGATGGTGGCAGCTATCTTAATTTTATTAGCTGCACCTTTCTTAGACACTTCAAGAATCAGATCTATGCAATTTCGACCAATTATGAAATTCTTTTTCTGGCTGTTTGTGGCAAACTTCTTAATCTTGGGTTAAATTAAGCCCCTTAAAGTAGCAATACTTTAATGAAAATAGGGAAAATTGCAAGGACCTCCATTTAATTGAATGGACAATTTGCAGCGGAGCTTGGTTCGGTGAATCTTTTTAAAGAGTGAATCAAGAACGTTCAACGACTAATCGGTGAGCCACACTAGCAATAATCCGGACATGATAACCCTACAACTAGTAAATTATTTTACTTAGTTGATGACATAGTCTAAGCCCAATGGTAACATTGGGAAGATAAAGTTAAATACTTTATCGATAATAAATCTGTGGATTGGGGCGAACCATCCAGAAAGTCCATTAGTAGAAATTGGACAAGTTTCTACAATTTTCTATTTCTCTTACTTCTTAGTAATTTTACCAGTAGTAGGAATCATAGAAAATACGTTATTCGATTTAGGAACTAAATCTAAATAATTTTACACCCCCCATATTAGTAATTTAATCGTAAAATATTGGTCTATATTATTATGCCAATCTTGTTGTTTCATTAACAACCTAATATTATACCCGTCAGACTTCCTTTTTTATATTTTCATTATAAAAATACAAAAAATGAATTAAAAGTATTTAGAAAAATAAAGGACAATAAAAATATTTTTTATAATTAAAGAAGGATATTGTTCAATATAATAACTATCATAAAATTATTAATTATGATAGATTGCTCAATTCCGTCCTAACTAGCTCAAAATATGACAATATTAGAATTATTTATTTTAGTACTGCCGATACCATTAGCTTCTCTTTATTTATCAACAATCTTAATTCACAGATTTGCTTTTTTAATATTACTATCATTGTGTTTATTCTCACAAATAGAAATATTAAGAGAGTTATTTCAACTAACTTTATTTTCACAAAGCCCATTAAATTTAATTGGTAATTTTTTTTTTATTCCTTACGGCCCCGATGAACCTAATATATTATTATCATTAATTCCTATAATTGTTTATTCTAATGCAGAATTAGATAAACTTAAAGTATTAAAAGATAATAAAGGATTAACTGGAATTTATATGTGGACTCATATAGAATCCGGGAAAACATATATTGGAAGTTCTTATGATCTTTCTCAAAGATTCACATACTATTACTCAAAAAAATATTTATTGTCTAACAAAACTAGTTATATTTATAAATCTTTATTGAAATATGGTTATTCAAATTTTAGTTTAACCATATTAGAGTTAATAGATATTCAAAATCTAGAAAAAGCAGAGGCTAAAAAATTACTTCTTGAAAAAGAGCAATTTTATTTAAATCTTATAAATCCTAAATATAACATATTGAAAATAGCCGGAAGTTCACTAGGTCGAAGACATTCATATGAGGGACGTCAAAAAATGAGTTTAGCTAAAAAAGGAAAATATATAGGTGAAGATAATCCTTTTTATGGTAAAAATCATTCTCTTGAGGTAATTAAAAAGCTAAGTGTTATTAATACAGGTGAAAATAATCCAATGTATGGTAATACTGGAGCCAAAAATGTCTTAAGTAAAAAAGTCTATATCTATGATAAAGACAATCCTACTGTTGTACATAAGGAATTTAATAGCTACACAGAAGCTGCTCAATTCTTTGAATGTCATAGAAGAACTATTTTAAGGTATATTGATAAAAATATTAGTTATAAGGATAAATGGACTATTAGCTCAACAATTATTTAATCAGGAAGGTGTTAGGTTGGATTGGGGCTAACCATCCAGAATCGCCTCTTGTTGAAATAGGTCAATTCTCAACAGTATTCTACTTCTCTTACTTCTTAGTAATCTTACCAGTAGTAGGGATCATAGAAAATACATTATTTGATTTGGGAACTAAAAGTAAATCAATAAACACCCCCCTATATTTTTCCAAGTTTAAATAAAAATAATATTTTTAACAAATCTTCTAGATTAAGTCAAATTAGAAATTTTCATAATTCTTCTTCATTTAAAAATGAGAATAATTCTAGTAATAATAAAAAAGATAATGAAAATTTTATTGATTTAACATTTAAAGAATGGCTATTGAAGAATAAACCAGCAAAAGTTTATGTTAATAGTGCAGAATCTAAGGATCTAATTTACAAAGATAACAATAAGAGATCAGGTGTTTATTTATGGTATAACACAATTAATGAGAAATATTATATAGGTTCTGCAGTAAACTTATCAAGAAGGTTTTCTCAATACGTTCAGCTTCATATTAGGGAGGTATATTTAGTAATTAAAAGCTATAAAGAAGAACAGATAAATTGTTATATTTACATATTAATAATGTCAATGTCAATAATTATTTTAGTAGTGACGATACCATTAGCTTCTCCCCATTATTTACCAACAATCTCAACAGGTTTGCTTTTAATAATGTCTCTATTCTCGTGCCACACTTCAGAGATTTATGGAGGGTTATTTCAAACAACATTATTATCTCAAATAAGTGATACATTATTATTTATCCCTTATTTTCAAGGTACTTTACTATTAGTACCTATAACTTATTTAAATGCAGATACAAATAAACCTCAAATTTTGATTGACAACAATAAATGTTCTGGAATATATATGTGGATACATAAGGATTCAGGAAAAAGATATGTAGGTAGTGCATTTGATTTGTCAAAAAGATTTAGGAATTATTATACACTTTCATACTTAATTCATCCAGGAAATAGTTATATTTATAACGCTTTATTTCTTCACGGTAATTCTGCATTCAGTTTATCCATATTAGTATATATTGATATTACTAATTTATCTAAAGAAGAAGCACGGAAATTTATACTTGAAAAAGAACAATTTTTTATAGACTCGCTTAAGCCTGAGTACAATATTTTAAAAATAGCCGGTTCTTTATTAGGTTATAAACATACTGAGGAAACTATATCAAAACTTCGTGAAGCTAATTTAGGAAAAGTTTTTCAGCTTCCCCCGGATACCCGGGGGATGCATCGTCCCTTTTTAATTAATAATGTTTTTTTATTTTATTTAAAAACTTTTTAATTTATAATGTTTTTTAATTTTATTTAAAAACTCCGGGGCGAAGCTGAAACCAAGGCAAAACTTAGTAAAGCTTTGTCTGGTGAAAATCACCCTAAAGGAATGCTTTCTAAAGTTCAATCTGAAGAAACTAAAGCTTTAATTAGTAAAGCCCTTACAGGTAGAATTCTTTCTGCTGAAACTAAAGGTTTAATAAGTAAAAATCATAGCCGATCGTGGTTAGGACATTTTCATATTGCAGAAACTAAAGCTAAAATGAGTATTTCCCGGACAGGCGAAAATAGTCCTGTGAGTAAAAGAGTGTTTGTATATTCAAAGGATAGAGCAACAATACTTTCTCATGAATTTGTGTCTTACTCAGAAGCTGCAAAACATTTTTCTTGTAGCATAGTTACTATCTCTAGGTATGTCAAAAGTGAAAGATTATTTAAAGATAAATGGATTTTATCTTTATCTAAAAAATAAGCTAATAATCCGCAGCCGTAGGGAGGGGGGGGGGAATATACGGCTCCACTAATTAATAAATATTGAATCTTTGATTTAACACCCCTGTCTCTATAGCATATTTGGAACCAGCTCAATATACACCCGAAATAAAACAAGGAAATTTTAATAAAGATGTTGATTAAATCTTAATATAGGACAATCCTGGAATTCTCATGTATCCTCTCTATTAAAAAAGACGTAGTGATAAAGAAGAATCTATAAACAAGGAAGATGAAAATTCCCACGATATTACATTTAAGGGATGGCTAATAACAAATAAACCAGTTAAATTTTATTTAAATAGTGCTGAATCAAAATATAAAAATTATAAGAATATTCAATTAATTTGGAAATTTATGGGATAATAATAACAGTGAAAAATATTTAACTAATACAGGTTTATTGATTCATAAGGTTCTTTTAAAGAATAAACATGAAAAATTTTCCCTTTATATCCTAGAGTATAGTAATTCTGATAATCTTATTGAATAATAGCAATTTTATTTAGATACTCTTACACCTCCTTACAATATATTAAAAATAGCAGGATCTACTCTAGGATTTAAACATAGAGAAGAAACTTTAGAAAAATTCAGTCTTGCCAAATCTGGGGGAAAATCATCTAATGTTTGGTATAATTGGTAAAGATAATCCTTCTTATGATAAAATGCATTCTGAGAAAACTCGGGTAAAAATTAGTGAAGCTTTGTCTGGTGAAAAACATCCTAATTTCGGTAAAATTTTCACTCCTTCAGCTTCCCCCGGGTATCCGGGGGGAGTTTTATAAACAAAGCTTCGAGGCTGCCCCGCCCGCGGGCGGGGCGGCCCCCCCCCCCTTCGGGGGGGGAGGCTGCCTTTTTTAAAAAGGCGGCCCGGGCGCTGGGGGGGGGGGCCAGGCTAATTATATATGAATATAATAAATATAAAAAGAATATATTTAACTATAATAAATTTTAATTTAAATAAATATTAGTTTGTAGGTTCGATTATTATAAATAAATTATTTATTCGCCCCGACTTAGATTTTGTTCGCCTTGATAGCTTAGTGGTAAAGTAAAGGTTTGAAAAACCTTTGAGGGATGTTCGATTCATCCTCAAGGCATAATACCAAAGATAAAATATAGGAACTATTATCTCAAGCGGCCTTTAAATGGCTAAAACGGTGTACTAAGTAATAACAGCATTGATATGTAAATCGAGGGGTGGTTTAGTACTTAATTTTAAATTATAGGTTCGACTCTGCTTAGCTAAGAAGGTTCGTCTTCTTTAGCCCAGTAACATTAATTTATGGTTAATAAGGTCTTTAAACACATAAAGTCCCTAAAAATTGACAAAACCAATTGCTGTTTAATACTTTTCTCTGCATAATACCCTTAGGATTTTAATCATTCAAAGGAATCTTGTCTGAAATGGCTAGTAAAAGCAGACAGCTGGTTGAAAATTAGAAAGCCTGCGGCTATAATCAGCCTCCTAAGAATAGTAACCGCAAGTGTGAAAGCGATAGCGGTGATAAACTATACAGCGTAGACACGTAAGACCCGTGAGTTAGTGATAGCAATACCCTCATGTAACTTAGACCCACAAGGTCGAAGAAGCTTCTTCATAGTTGCAGAAATAATGCCTAGCAAGTTCTAGGCTACCCATGTGAGACGTGCATCGAAAAAATACTGCGACGTAATTCTGTATAGGGGTTCTAGCGAAGAAAGAGTGATGTGAACCCTACTCCTGAGACCTAACCAGTCAGAGTAGTTCGTTAAGTGGTCAAAAAGCATAAAAATACAGAAAATGGTTATTTTCTTAATAACGGCTAGTAAATCTAAACAGGTGGTGAATATAAAAGTATTACTTGATTCAAGAAAATCAAGAGCCTCTCCTGTGAAACCTTCGTCTATAGAATAATAGGAGTTGTATGAATAGATAAGACGCTAAAAATAAAATAATGTATACAAACAATAACAATGGATCTTTTGTACCGGTTATAATTTATAATAATGCCGAAACTGACAAACCTAAAGCTTTATTCGAAAATAGAGGTAAAACAGGAATTTATCTATGGACTCATATAGAGACCGGTAGAATTTACACCGGATCTGCCGTTAATTTATCTAATCGATTTAGTAAATATTTTTCTACTTTAGAGTTAAATAAATGGGATAACTATATTTCAAGAGCATTAATCCTTCACACTTATTCTGCATTTTCTTTATCAATTATTGAATATATAGATATATCTGGTTTATCAAAAAAAGAGGCACGAGAATTAATACTTTTACGTGAGCAGCATTATTTAGATTTTATCTTTTCAAAAGATGAACCTAATACATATAATATACTTAAAATTGCAGGCTCCTTGTTAGGATATAAACATACTGAAGAAACTCGTGCTATGCTAAGTAAACCTAAATCTGTTGATACTAAAGTTAAAATTAGTGAAGCCTTGTCTGGTAAAAATCACCCAATGTATGGCAAAACTCTTTCTACTGAGACTAAAGCTTTATTAAGTTTTGCTAAAAAGGATGAAAAACATCCTATGTTTAATAAAACCCATTTAGCTGAAACAATTGAAAAAATGAGTGAAGCCTTATCTGGTGAAAATAATCCACGAGGGAGGTTAGGGAAAAATCATTCTATTGAAACTCTAACAAGAATAAGTGAAGCTAAAGGTACTGCTATCTATGCATATGACACTCAAGGTGCACTAATTAATAGTTTTAGTTCAGCAAATAAAGCGGCTGAATATTTTGATTGCTCACATCCGACTATTATTAAATATGCAAAAAATAATAAATTATTCCAAAATAATTGGTATTTATCCTTTTCTAAGGATTTTTTTAATAAACTTTAATAAGAACTTTTCAGAAAATAGTTTAAATTAAATCTAATAGATGTTAATAAATAATAATACTTATTTAATTTATAGTGTTATTTATTAATGTTTTTCCTATAATCCTTATAATCCATTTAATAATAAATGGTTTATGTTCATTTCAGGTTTTTATTGTGGCAAGGTTTACTTGTTATATAAAAACTTGAAAAATGCTAGAATAGATAATAACGTAATTGTTATTATTTAATGCATTTAAAGGCCAATTACCTGTACAATCAAACAATTAACTCCCCCCTGAGAAGTTTCACACCTTCAATGCGATAGAGGCTAGTTATGTACAAACATAACAGTACCAATATCATAAGTACATTAGATAGTTATGATAAATTAATTATATTGTCGTATATAATTTTATTATTCTTAAGGTTTTTTATTCAGCTGGTTAAAGTAGAGGTTTGAAAAACCTTTGACGGTTGTTCGATTCAACCTCAGGGCATTTAAAAGAGTGGAAAAGTAGAGGTTTGAAAAACCTTTTAAGGTTATTCGATTCACCCTCGGAGCAAATAAACTCATGTAAGGATAAATTTAGAATATTGTTTATTTAGAATATAATAAAAATAGGGTTACGTCCTGCTTTAATAAAAATTAATATTCTTAACACTCACTTTCACTAAAAATTTTTCTTGCTCACTTTTTTTTTTTACTTGTAAATATATACTATTAGTAATATATTCAATCTTATTAGGGCCCTCTAAGTAATTAAAACTTATTTTGTTCAAGTCTACTCTTACATTTTTTAAAATTTTGTAATTTTAATAGAAGCTTCCGGTAGAGTATAATATTTATTCTACGAAAATGTTAAAAGTTTTTAATTAATATTATATAAATAAAAATATGAAAAAGATACTTCAAAATTATTAGCCTAAGAGCTAAATTTTTAATATAAAAAATTTCTATCTAAAAGGGCCCTTTAAAACTTAATTAAAATATTTAATAAATAAAGGATTTCAACATACAAAAAAAAAAAAAAAAAAAAAAAATATGACACGATGGCTTTTTTCAACTAACGCTAAAGATATAGGGACTCTATATCTAATTTTCGCTTTATTCTCAGGTATGATTGGTACAGCTTTTTCTATGCTAATTAGATTAGAATTAGCAGGACCAGGAATACAATATTTACAGGGTGATCACCAATTATATAATGTTATTGTAACAGCTCATGCTTTTATAATGATTTTCTTCTTGGTTATGCCCGCTTTAATCGGTGGTTTTGGTAATTTCCTAGTACCTGTAATGATTGGTGCTGTGGATATGGCAAAGAATATGAAATTTAATAAATTTTTATGTTTTCATTTAAACATACTAACATTTAAAATTATGATTTTAAATTATTCAATTCTATCAAGTATTCGATTTTTTTCTTCATTCATTGATAAATTTGCTCTAGAAACATCTTCTACAAAAGAAATAATTAATACTTCTTTGGTGCAAAAATCTTCTAATCAAAATATTATAACTCCTGTTGTGGACAAGGGTCTAAATACTTATTTAACAGGATTGTTCGAGGGAGATGGCCACATTTGGACCCCTAATCCTAATGCTAATTCTAGTAAAAAACACAATCCTAGATTCTGTATTACTTTTCATTTAAAAGATAAACCTTTAGCTGAAAAATTATTAGAATCTATAGGTTATGGATTTATTAGAATAAAACTTAAAGAGAATGCTTGTGTATTAACTGTATCTCCTTTGAAAGGATTAATATATGTTATTCAATTATTAAATGGAAACATGAGAACTCCAAAAATTCATCAATTACATTCTTTAATTGATTGGGTTAATATTAATCATAATTACAATATAAATAAACTTTCTTTAAGTACATCTCCTTTAAGTAGTGATTACTGGTTAGCTGGTTTTATTGATGCGGATGGAGGTTTTTTAATTAGACATTCTACTTTAGGAACAAGTAAAAAAGAGCGTATTAATTGTAGTTGCGTTATTGAACAACGATTAATAGACCCTAAATCTAACGATAGTTACTTTACAATTCTAGATCAAATAGCTAATTTATTTTCTACTAAATTATTGATTACAAATAGAAACTATTATAGAATAACAGCTACTAGTTTAAAATCTATTAATTTAGTTATAAATTATTTAGAACAATTTAATTTAAGAGGTTCTAAATATTTAGATAGTTTAGACTGGATAGAGGCTGCTAAAATAATTATAGATGATAATCATTATACTTTAGAAGGAAAAAATAGAATAGATTTATTAAAAAATAGAATGAATCGAAATCGAATAATTATGGATTGGGAACATTTAAATAAATTTTAATAAAATATTTGCTCTTTTGTTATTTTATTAAAAGGAAGTTCAAATTGAGCATCTCGTAGGGATGTTCTTTTATTGTTTTTAATTGTAATAAATGATAAATTTAAAAATTTATTATATTTGGAAATGCCGTCTATATAAGTAATTATATTTATAATTAGTTCACTATATGCATGGAATTTCTCGTAGATAAAGTGAGAACTTTTAGGTAACAGTTTTAAATACAAACATCCCTAATGTTGTAAAGAACTTAGGGCATTTGTAAAAATTTTTAGAAACAAGGGGAGAATATGCAGGAAACCAATTATACGGAAATAATCTTCCTTTTTTGATGATTTTTCTTTAAAAAATTTAGTAGGTTCCTCAGAGACTACATGTGAACCTCCTTAAATTAAGGATGAAAACATAGTCCAGCTTAAATGGAAACATTTAAGGTAATCGATTTCCTCGATTAAATAACATTTCATTCTGGTTACTACCTCCAGCGCTAATTTTATTATTAGCTAGTAGCTTTGTTGAAAATGGAGCAGGTTCCTATCCCCTGGGCCTGGGTAATAAGTAATTATTATAGAGAATATTGCTATATGCTGGAATCCCCTAAAGTCTTAAATATCAATATTTTGTTAATTGATAAAAATTTTAAGAATGAAACAATGGACAATCAGCAGGAAACCAGATTACTATAATTAGTAATGGGATCCTCAGAGACTATACGCGATACCCCTTAAATAAAGGGTGAAGATCTAGTCCGACTTATTATGAAAATAGTAAGATATTTCATAAAAAGTTTAGCCAGGAAATTTACATAAAATTTCTTTAAATTCTTCTGGTCCTTTTAATTCTCTTAGAGAGGATAAAACTTCTGAAGAGCTTTTATCTGAAAAAATATCCCAAGATAATTCTCAATTGGGTCACTATTTAGCAGGTCTTAT